TTATATATATATATATATATATATATATATATATATATATATATATATATATATATATATATATATATATATATATATATATATATATATATATATATATATATATATATATATATATATATATATATATCTCTCTCTCTCTCTCTATATATATATATATATATATATATATATATATATATATATATAACAAAAGATTAATGTATGAGCATGCATGCAAATACAAGTTTTGTATGCTTTATATATATAAGTAGTATCAGATAAAAGGGCACAAAGACAAAAACATTTTAATGGTAACCCACAATATGATCGTATCCCCAACCTCGTGCACATGTTACTATAGGGATTTGTCAAAATAATAATAATAATAGCGTAAGCATGCACTTGTCGTAAAACCGTCATTATAAGTATTGACCCATGTATTTACTTGCATTTAAAAAGTCTTATTTTGCAAATATTTTACTTATACGATATATACAATTTGTCACATGAATTTTTAGAATGCCCACGTACGATGCCCACTATAGGCCATATAAAATAAATTCCTTGATTCTCATCACCGCCCGACGATATTTTGGTTTCCGCGTTGATATATTTTTGTATTTTGTTATAAAATATAAATTTACCGCCCGACCGAGCATCTTCAGAGATTTAGTTATTTTTATATTGGAATTTTTGCGATATAAAATTGTTTTATCGTTAATATTGCAACATGTTAAGGGATGCTTGGAATACTGAAGGAAAAAATGGGCTTATAGCCTTATTACAACGATTTGTGTGGACCCTTATGCATGTTCATTAGCGCATGTGTGCAATTATCCACTTATATAGCGTTCTTCTATAATATATTTAAGGGCAAATATAAAAAGACCTCCCTCTCCAATTTTTTAAATTTTAAACTTTTTTTTATATTTTGACATAAAATATAAAATATAAACCTCCCGCCTCCTGGGAGTTTTTAAAATTTAGCGATGAGAATCAAGGAATTTATTTTATATGGCCATATATAGACATAGTCATTCTTACATTTTATATAGACAGATTAAAATAACTAAGTCATCACGTCTACACACTTATTCAGCAAGAAAATAGATAAAATCTAAGCTTTAAAAAAATGGATGCATGAATGCAAATGAATTTTGAGGTCACGCTTCGCTTTTGCTTGCATATTTAGGGTTAACCACATTTCTCCCAAATGGACGAATGCGTAAATATGACTCAAATGTTGAAAGGTTAATTGGCTTCAACTAGCAAATTTCATCTGTTTAAATATCATAGTTTTAAACACCTCGTTTAAAAAGCCCTACACTAACGCCACTAATGACGTGTGCCCTTGCTTGAAAGGTTGAGAGCGTTCGAAAAGTCGTGCGTCTCCCAACTTCGAAATATTGGATTTAAAGCAAAAAATCGATGTATTTATTGCAAGCATGCACGGGATATAAATGTAGGATAACTTGGGCAAAAAAGATTTAAAAAGCAAAACTTACAAAAACAACATGCGATGAGTAGAAAGACTTGAAACGTTCTGAAATTGCATCTCATCTCCATACTGCCTAGAAAGAAAAGAAAATATCCTTTAATTTGTTTGATGGAGGAATTTGCAGAGAAAATAAAATGTAATTATAGCGAGCAATATATACAAGTAATATATGGCAACCTTTTTTTAAAATCGTGATCAATTAATGTTACTTCCAGCAGAGAATGTGCAGTTATATGATGGCGTTGTTTGCCAACGCTCCTTTTAAATAATTACTCGCCCCCAGGAGATTGGACCCAAGTAATTATATACCGCTTGAGGTGATAGCATAAACTTATGAACTGTATTCATTAATTCTTCATTAATTCTAAAAAAATTATAAGCAAAAATGAAAACATGACAGTTAAATGGAAGCTGTTTTTAATAGATGTCTCTACTAGTAAAAGCTCAGAGTCTGTTCTGCACGGCTTGACTGCATGCCAGAGTCATTAGCAAAAACGCACGTCAGTATAGGAGATGAGTCCATTTCTATAATAACAAGACGCTCTATGGAGTGTTAACTCGCTGGGGCTATACAACGGACGCACATTTATTTACTGTTAAGATCTAAAGGCTGATTTCCACTGTCACTGAGTACGCACATACACGCACGTAAAATTTCGAATCCTTTTATTTTTAAATATTTTACAAATAAGTTAACAATTAAGACTGTCATTGTTACTTTTGTCATGCTGATCGATATGTTAATAAAATGTACACAGCTTTTTTTTCTATTGCATGCATGCATGAGACCTTTAATTTTCAAAACGACAGGAAATCTTGTCGGCAGTTTTTGATAAATTTTTAAAATAATTATTCCGTCAATTTCCCTCTGATATAGCTATAATGTTAATTATGTATGGCTATATATCAATGAAATGCATGTTGTTGAAACCATGCAAATTGGATGACGGTCCTGCATGGCCTGTATATGGAAGTCCGCAATCATAATTATAATGTGTGAGCGTATGAAAATATCCGTTATATTTTAAAATCTCCAGAATGCAGAAATATAACTATATTGATTTGTTTTCACTGACTAAAATATAAATCACATTTTAATTAATATTTTAAATTTATACTTAGACGAAACAAAGCACAACGACAATTAATCTAGCAAGAAACCGCCGAAGAATATGATACGAACTATATACTAAACTGAGTTTAACTATACGAGCAATAAAAACACTGCATGCATGCATTCACTTCTGTATATACTGCATTAAATGGTCAGCATCGACTGTATATCCATGCATGCATCATGGTGTCAAAATTTGTGGGTTTACTTCCAATACTTATAGGGCATATTACTATACTGACTTGAATATATTTGAGGGCCATTATATACAGGGTGTATAAAAAAAAACTGAACAGATATGAATTTGCTCTTAATTTCGCAAAACAGCTATTAGTATCCAGTTTTTGATTTATATAGCTTATTTGGGTACTTCTAATGTAGAATAATGAAAAAAATTTCTCGAAGTCAAATTTTGTAAACCAGGGGGAGGGGGTGTTACTTTTCCAACAAACTAAAAATGGCTTGCGCACGAAATTTAAAAGCTTTAATCATATTTTGTGTTAATAGATGGAAAATGTGTTGGGTATTTTATTACTGTACAAAATTTCAGACAATTTGCTTTAGTTTAAGCCCTTTTATAACTGTTCACACAAACTTACATTTTCCCCTAAAAAATCAGCTATTTGCATGCTTAATTAATGCTTTTGCCTAATTTGCATATGTCTGCAATATGCAATTTAGGTAAAGGCATTAATTAAGCATGCGAAAGGCTGATTTTTTAGAAAAAAAAATGAATAGTTAAGGGGCTTAAACTAAAGCAAATTGTCTGAAATTTGTACAGTAATTAAAAATCCAACACATTTTCCATCTATCAACTCAAAATATGATTAAAGCTTTTAAATTTTGTGCGCAAGCCATTTTTAGCTTGTTGGAAAAGACACACACCCCTGGTTCACAAAATTTGAGTTCGAGAAATTTTTTTCATTATTCTACATTATAAGTACCCAAAGAAGCTATATATATATATATCAAAAACTGGATACTAATAGCTGTTTTGCGAAATTGAGAGCAATTTCAAATCTGTTCAGTTTTTTTTATACACCCTAGCTGTAGTAGGGCCATATGCATGCAGCAAAATAAAATATACTATACTATATATTTATTTATAATGTAAATTACAAGGTCAAGGGCTTTGCATGTATACTGTAGTAGAAATTAAGACGTTTTTATATATGCTATAATTATATATGCTATAATTATATATATATATATATATATATTTGGTATTGGGCTTCTTGATTTTCATTACTTCAACATTGAACAGCTGCCGGCTGATGATATTATGCAATAAATTTTTAATTTCGGTGACTCTTTATATTATCTGGCTTTAATATATATAGTTTCCAAATATTTACTTAAAACATATTACTTTCTTCTACGAAAATAAATTTGTGTTCTATAAGTTAGCTGAACTGAACTATTTTTCATTTCCAGATATAAAGACTGTTTTCAATGTAAAAAAGAGAACAAAAACATCACCAGTAGATAAAACAGGCTTTCAATATAGATTAAGATTAACTTTCGGCAAAAATGAATAGGTTGAAATTATGTTTTCCACTATTCTATTGTATATAGTCTATATATGGTTAGTGAAATGACATGCAATTCTGAATTCTATCAGCTTTATATCATTCAATTCTTGTCATGTTTCATTCACAGTATGTGTATGCGTGTTATATATTAACCATTATTCTTAAATTAAAGTGCTATACTGCAGCGAAATTTTCGACCCAAATTTTTTTAGCTTAAATAAAAGTCCTTTCTTTCCTGGCCTATTTACCGTAAACAGAATAAAAATTGGTGAATTCGAACCGACTATATAGCCTCCCAAAGTTGAGATTTTGGGCACTTCCTGTGCGAACTTTTGATCGGCCATGTCGATGCCATGTGACGTCATGAACATGCACGATTTCATCATATAAAATTATAGTGAAACCAACAAACGCGGAGAAGAAGGCCGTGTTTCTGGCAGTCCAAACTCAGATTATTGCACGAATTCTGAACAACCTGAAGGAATATTCATGCATTCATCATCGTATGTCAAAGCGAGTCCATCCTCGAAGTTGACTTTCAGATGCAGTGCTGAGTTCTATTATTTGAGTCGCCAACCGTCATACCGCTGTCAAATAAACAATAAAATATAGCACTTTTTATTTTTAAAAAATCAGTTATCTGCGCAAAAAAACAAGTGAAATAGGCAAACATTCCACTGCGATACGTTGAAGCACAATATTTACAACAACTGATGACGTCATACGGCATCGATATAACGGCGGAAAAAGTTCGCACTCGATAGCCAACTTCAGAGGCGAAATTGTGCAACTTTTAGACATCGCATGATGGTCAAATATATATGAAAATGCTTCTAAAAGACTGAATTGGTATTTAAGCAGAAAAAAGGAGGTTCAAAAACTCGTTGCACTTTAACTCAAATATATATATAATCAAGCAAACGTTGAAACACGAGACCGTGTTACACAATATTTGCAAACATGAAATTAAGACTTTAATTTTCCCTTATATTAATAATACCCGAGCCCACGGTGCGAAGTGCCTTTTTAGGCTTAAGACGGGGCGAGGGAACTAATTCCGCTCGGCTATTTATACATGCATGTGTACACCCGGGGAAAGGAATTAAAGTATTAGCGAGGTCTAAAGTTCTTCAATTTGTATGGTTGGTCATCTCACTGATCTCAAAAACATGGCTCTTTGCCATGCAGAAGTGACAGGAGCAAGGATTTAAAAAACATATAAGAAAGCTTGGAAAATCGTTTCAGTTGTAGTATGAGAAATCGTAAAGTATAGGGCAAGTTTGTTTTGACCCTTTATGAATTATGTATATTGACTTTGTTGTTCAATTTTCCCAAAAACATGCATGTACTGCTTTCCTTTTCATTGTAGGTGTATAAGATTCTTAATTTAACATGCTTTAATTGTTTGGCGTCTACGGCAGTAAACGCTATATGCAATCGACTCGAGCTTTCGAGAGCGGAGTGAAGACGGTCTGGTAGGATTCACTTTTCCAGCCTGCGATACGCTAATGCCCATAAATGGTTTGATATACCCTGCATAAATAGTATTGTGTTACCCCCTTTACTATTTACATACATGTAGACTGTCACTTTCAGGTGTGGGACTGTACTGGGATTGCCAGTAAATGAGGCGAAAAACAGGTTTCAACTCACTTTAAAGGTGATCTACAGTCCGTATGTAAACAAAGCCTTTGTTTACATTTTTGTGTCCAAAATATTGAGCTTTATTCGACAACTATTTATATTTTCAAGCTTCTAGAGTATAATAAATGATCAAGAAACAACAATCAGGCTTTTCAAGAACTCAAAACATAGTTAAACTGTTTGTATCATAAAAAGTGGGCTCATTTGTGCACATGCGCAGATCGGACTGTAGATCACCTTTAATTATCAAAATATGGAAAATTACAAAATAATAGATTTCGGTAAAACACTGTTTTCCTTCGCACGCCATATTAGCTCCTATGCGCATGCTCTAACAAAACGTAAATAAACATCGTCCAAAAGGCGATCGCAGAGATTATTGTCTACAACTTTACTACAACCCAATACACCGGAAGGACTGGGGTCGATGCGATCGCGTCTTAAAATCTGAATGTAAATTTCTCTAATGCATCGTTCACTCAATACTATATGTCATTGTCCGTTCATACACTCTCTATTGCTTCCGACTTGGTTTCCTGGTCTTGATCCATATCTACTGGTACTAATAACGATAATCGCTGCGCACTTCGTGACACAATGACAGCCTCGTTATGTCCTTTGTATTTTTGTACCTTTTCTCCAATTTGAAAATTCTTGTACATGACATTTACTCGTACTATACCTAAACGGTAATCTCCTCGCAAGGTATTACGGTCGGCGATTATTACAACATCTCCTGGGCGCAGGTTACGGTTGGCTGTATTCCACTTGCGACGAATAACCAAGGCTGGGGCGTATAACTCCGTCCATTTCTTCCAGAACTCGTCTGTCACGATCTGGACAACATGATAACGCTTTCCTGGATTATTACCGTTAGGCTGCCATCCACCAGGATTCTTCGCCGTTGCTCTGCCCAGTAACAAGCTGTTGGGAGTAAGGATGTTTAATTCGGAATCAGCGCCCGGGAGTGCTCTCATAACTAGATCTATGAAGATTACTCCGTACGCTTTACCACTTGTTCTTTTCTGTACTTCTCCACGAACCGAGTAGGGTCCGAAAAGGTCTATCATAACGTGGTTGAAAGCTGGAGATGGTTTCAATCTTGCTTCCGGTAATTGTCCCATTTGCTGCTCAAGGAACTTTGCTTCTGGTAGCTTGCACATCTGACATTTACTCTTGATTGATTGAGCGAGTTTGCTTCCTTGGGTTACCCAGTAGAGTTGACGGAATCGTGCTAAGGTTGCATCACGCCCTCTATGACCAGAAGTGTGAGCTCGTTGCATGAAGAGTCTGGTAACATGATGTCGGTAGGGCAATAACTTTTGCAGCGAAGAATCCACTGTCTTGGGATTTTTGTTCTTCAGGCGCTGTCCCACTACCCAGAGTCCACTTTCATCTTGGACTGAATTCAAACAAGCGAAACGACCACCTTTTCTGCCTTTGCGGTCAGTTTTTGTCAGTTCACTTTCAAATGATTTCTGAACTTCTTTAACAATAAAGTTCTCGGCTTCTTGTAATTGCTTAACCGAGATGGACAGAGTCCTTCCGCCTTTAAAACTTTTCTTCTTCGCAATGTTTAGCAATCTCGCGACGACCCAAATAGCTTTGTTGATATTGCTCAATCTTTCATAGTCGATCAACAATGCCTCTACGCTCGCTGCTGCTGCTACAACATGGACTTTCTTTTCACCGGGGAGTGGTTCTTTCTTTGGGTTAAACTTTAATCCCCATTCTTCTATCGGTCGGTATAGAATCGGCGGTCCATTCCACCAATGAGAATCGTTGTTCAGCTCCTCTGGTGCTCTGCCGCGTGTCAACCAGTCAGCTGTATTGTGTTGGCCAGACATCCAAGCCCAGCAAGTCAGATCTCAAGTCAGGCTTCATATGTAGTGTGCACTACAGGAAGATATAATATATTTGAGCATGTGTTTGCCTTGGGGAACCTCGACTTTTCACCACATGCTTCAGGATGATGTAGAAATTGAATGGTGGGATAAATCTTCCGAGCGGGAAGGACTTTACATGCTGTTGAAAAGAACAAAATGTCATTGAAGGTAAGGGAATCTTCACCTTCTTCAATATCCTGTAGATAATCATGCCATCGTGATAGAACCAAGCTTTCTGTTACTGCTTTGTTTGATCCAACTGGACTTTGGAACACCTGGAACAGGTTTTCAGTGCTTTCAGCTGTAAGCTTTTCGGGATAATAGCAAAACGCTGGACGAAAAACATCAGGATTGTGTGTGAGTGCATCAAGGACCCCAAGCGTTGACAAACCATTTAGGAAACTTTCCAATGCTGGTCGGGCACGTCCAAGGACAAACCACTTTGCTGTCATTTCGGCAATCTTCCTTATGTCGTCTGTTGTCTGGGTCGGTTGAAGCATCCCAGCAAGATCAAGAACGCCCTGCAAAGTGACTTGGACCGCCTCTTCTTTACACCATTCATAACTTGGACCGCCTCTTCTTTACTAACCGAATTACTTAGCTTTTCAAGTGATGACTGTAATTCCCTGTCATACACATCTTCAATTGTAATGGCAACTTTGTCAGGAACGCGGTGAAGAGCTTCAAACATGTTATGGGCAAAACACTGCGGTCCAGCGCCACCATGCACTAAGGACATTGCTATGAGGGTACCAGCAAAAAAATAATCGTTACCTTCGAGGCAAGTGGATTGGAAAGAGATGTATTTGTGATGTTCAGGGCCACAAAATAACTGGGAAGTGACCATCCACTGCAAAACTAGTGTGAAGAATTCCTTCATAGGTCCACCCAAGTCAACGGCTCCCTCGCTGTTGCCGATGTCATCTGTAAATTTTACAGACATCTTGTTTTTTGCACAAAATGACTTTCGCGTTAGTGCTCTTTCCGCTCCTTCCCATACAAAACTTCGAGAAATGTTGAATTTAGATATGGATGTGTAGGCGATTTCCTTTGCCAAACCGTCAAGAAGTTCGCGTAGTTCTTTCTTTGGGACACCAGGTTGTGCACGAACGTCTTCTGCTGTTGTTTTGTAGTCGCGAAAAATCTCATTATTGTCACCATTAAATGTGATGCTGTCCTGTTCTTCACAACAAAGGGCAGTTGAATCACTATCGTTCAGAATGAAGGCATAATAATGGTCTAAGCAGCTGTCCACTTCCTGTACATCTTCATCCTCTGGGTAATTCAAACTAAAAATGTCTTTAGAAATATGTTGTTAATTCCTTCCTGTTACCCTTACCACTGCTTCCTCTGATTCATCTAATGTTTGAAACATGCAACAAGTACAAACGCTGAAACCAAAGCTCAACACTACCTCTTTAATTAAGCAATTTTAATAGAAAATCAAAGGAGTTATAAAATATAGGGCTAAAGTTTGCGAGGCTGTGATCGGTGAAAATAAGGCAAAATTAATGATATCTCCTGAGTCGCCAAATTAAACATGGTTTTATTACATCAACACTTTATTATTAACAATCTCGCTTCCCATTTTAAAAGTCACTAGCTATTAGGATAGAAGAATCTTACTAAACGTAGCTCACCCTTATACTTCAAAAACTCATTACAGTCGTGCCAATAGCAATCTCGTTCCCAGAGTATGCCTGTTCGCGGGTTATGTAATCATGCCACTACTTAACCCGCGAACAGGCATACTCTGGGAACGAGATTGTGCCATAGATATCTTACATACACTAGATAGTGCATCTAATTATTCTGCAATTCAAAAATTGAAGCCGTGATTGCAGTCTCAGGTCGTTCCCATGAAATGAGAAGATTGGTATGTTTTCTATTTCATAAACAGGGAACTTAAACATTAAAGTTAACCCTATTCCAAATACATTTTTAAACTATTCAAATGATGAAAGTTATTGTTGTTTTTAAGCGTTTCTTAGCAAGTGGGAACGACCAACATGGCCGCCATATATTCAAATGGGGGTAACCGCTGGAATATTCTTGGCTTCAATTTTACTAAAAGAGATGCGCTATCTAGTGTATATAAGATATCTATGGATTGTGCCAATAGAAGCGTTCCGAAAAATGTTGACCAATTCATTTCCTAACTTGAAGGAACACCTCTGTACAATTCCTCAATAGCCTGCGTGGCAGGCCCTCAGTATTATGGGGGCCTGATTTGCAACGGGCAGGATTCTGGCGGGCACGGGGGAGGAATCCTCTGAGGGCCTGCCATGTAGGTTAATTCCTCAACAATTTTATAAGTTCCTTAAAAAGTTGCTAACTTCCTGTTTCATTGGCCAATCAGATTGCTCAAAAATAAATTATATGTGATAAAGATTCTACTTGATTTACATAAACTTTAACTTTATTGTGCACTAAGCTATTGAAAATAAATTTCATTATCATGAAACTATACACAGTACAAAAACAACCTTGAAATTTATAGCAATATTTTACTAAATCGAGAAAATCATGTTGCTAGCTTGACTGATCTCAATACAATCCATGCATTGCATTCTGTAATCTGTATATATGAATGGTGAAGCCGGGAGATATACAATCATGTGATATGTCTTGAAATATACTGCCTGCTTAATTAAAAATTCTGAAATATACTTTACTTGAATTTAATTCGGCGCGAACATGACCACGGTTCTTTTTTATGTTTTTAAGCCAGATTACTAAAAATACATGCAGGTATAACTATGATACATTAATACTTACTCAGGCAGGGGCTCGTTATTGTTTTTACTAACAGTTCCAAATCCCCAAAACTGCACTTCATCATCCGATTCTAACAGTCCTGGGGTTCCATGCTCTTCTTCAACCATTAAATAGGTACACCTGTCAGATAATTCTTCACTTGGTTTTTGCACCACCCGCAAATGATAGATTGTAAAGTTCTCTGGATCTGGGCTGAGGGAACCAGCCCAGTCACACACAGCTGCCATGCGAGAGGTTTTTGGAAACTTTCTAGATTGCAAACCCATTGTGATATGCCTGACCTTGACAGTTACAAACTCATCATCAGGCTCGGGAACCACTCTATCTGCTCTAGCATTCTGAATTCTCTTTTTGCGCTTTGATTCTTCGTTCTCTCTTTCACGTGAGGCAGCTTTTCTTTCATCTGCTTTCAGCGACTCTTGATACTCCTTAATTGTCTTGTTCTGATGCAAGAGACTGCCTCTCGAGGGTGGAGCCAATCAGTGAGCTTTCTTGATTTGGGGACACAAGAGACTGCATATCCAGGGTGGAGTTAATCAGAGAGCTTTCTTGATTACGGGACACAAGAGACTGCCTCTCAAGGTAGGGGCCAATCAGTGAGCCTTCTTGATTGAGGTCATGATCAAATGCACTGGATAAGAGATCATCGTCATCATCACTGCCATCAATCTTCCTGGATTGTAAATACAGTCTAACAGTTCTAATTTTGTGTGCTTCCATGTAGTTACACAAGTTAAATGGTATATATTCTCTTCCAACTTTAATAGATTCTTCAACCTTCTCACCTTTAAAGTTAGTCAGACTAAACAGCATATTATCCTCATTTCCAAATATAGAATTCCCCTCAGGGAAAAAAAAATTTTTACAAGTTTGGTATATGTCCGTCTTACAACTAGTTAATGGCATTGCTACCACTCGACTTCCTCCTCCTTTGACCAGAGGCACAAGTGTGTAAGCTTGCTCCTGTTCCTTGAAATGTTTCCATCCAAGGTAAACCTTTTTGAAT